CTAGAGACCCTTTTCAGTTGTTGTTGTTGTTATTATTTATTAGTATTAGATTATTTCAGTGGGAGTGGGCTATACTCAGATCCATGATCCACACTGCTCCTTCCTTATTACTCTAAACAGATCTGCGTTTCCCTGTGTCTAGCTTGGAACTAAGAAGAGAAAGATTGCAGATGGCTTCTTTTCTTTTGGCACCTCTTGCCGAAAGAGCTAAATGGCGATGACACCGAGTTACAAATTCCAGAACTGCTGAATGAACATGCTTAAAATACTGTCCCATTAAGAGCTGGTGGAGTCGTAAGACCAAGCAGGAGTCAGAGCCAATGTTCTTGGCTGTGTCTCATCATGGAAAATAAAACAAAATCTAGCAGCAGACAAAAGTTAGTCCAAGCTCTCTTATTTTGAGCTGCAAGCATTTTTAAAAAGTGATCTTTTGCAAGCCTAGAAGCAGATCTTTTCCTGTGTTTGCCTGCAGCTTGTCTGTGAATCTGAATAGGGTTGCTGTGAGATATTTTCATACCAGAGGGAGCATCACATTTCTCCAAATCAGGAGTTAGAAAATAATGCCATGGGCTACATGTGGCGTCAATCCCTCTTTTTTTTTTTTGCAGCCTTTTACCCCATTCCCAGGGTGACCAGATATCATAACCACAAAGGGTCCCTTCAGGGAGAAAGGCAGCCTAAAATAAATAAAAAGGAGGATAAGAAACTGCAAAATGTAGGAAATTCAAGAAATATGTAGGACATTACAAAATAAAAGCTAAAAACACGTGTATTAATGTGCATTCATGCTTCTCAGTCATGCCCAAAATGGAGGACATTTTGCAATTCCTCCTAGACAGAAGGCTGAAATTTAGGATATGTCCTGGAAAGGGAGGATGTCTGGTCATGCCAACCTCTGGATTCCCAAATTGTCCCCAAATGGTGAAATTGAAGCCAGGAAATCAAAGAAATTCTGGAGGCTTCTTAGAGCTTTAAAACTATACCAAATCCTCCTAGTTGCTTTAAAGTACAGATTCCTAAAAAAATCACAACCAGAAATGATATCTGGATCATTTTTGGCTAGATACTTGCTGGTGCGGCCAGCTGTGGGAGTAAACATTGGCTTCCACCATTGCTTCAATCTTCCCTCCCCATGACTTTAAATCTAAATGCCTACCAGGGTCCTATTCTGTGCTTGGCCATGAAACCCATTGGGTAATCTTGGGCAAGTCACTCTGTCTCAGCCTCAGAGAAGGCAATGGCAAGCCTCCTTGAACACACCTTGCCAGGAAAACCCCAAGTTAGTTTTGCCTTAGGGTTGCCATAAATCGGAAATGACTTGAAGGCCCACAACAACAACCAATCTATCTACAAGAGCCAGCATGGTGTATTAGTTTGAATGATGGAACAAGTCTCTGGAAACCAGGGTTTGAATCCATGCTCAACCATGGAAGCTCACTGGATCACATTTTCTCAGCCTTAGAGGAAGTCAATGGCAAATCCTATCTGAGCAAATTCTTGCTGGGAAACTCCTATTCTAGGTTTGCCTTGGGGCTGCCGTAAGTAGAAAATTACTGGAAGGCACACAACAAAAATAACCTGCCTAGAATTCCCTGTGCAAATATCTCATTGGAATGAATGGGAGATGGTTAAAAAGTGTTGGGGTGGTGGTGGTGTTCCACTTTATCCTAGTGACCACCTGTATAGGTACGAGGTAACTTTGTTTTGACCTGCTGTCGGCATCATAGGACACACCATAGAGCACAAAGCCTATGTCAACCAAGCTGTGGTGTTATGATTGGGTTGCTGCTGTTTTGTATATAAAAGTACAGAGAACAAGATTTACAGTATTTATTTGAAAAGTGGAAGGCTCATAACAGTGAGGCATACAATAGGGCTAGCTTGCCATTGTGTTTTTCATTTCCGCATGCCTTTCTAGACGATAAGTCATAGCGGTTAAAACGACTGTGTATTCTCTGTTCAGCTATGTACATCAATACTTGCAGCAAAACAGTCAGCATTGTGTTACTGATTCCTCGGACAAGGGAAAAGAGGCTTATGATGAGGCTGAACTCAATTGGTATTATTAGAGCCAGCTGATAATCCTTTTTACACACTCATTACTGCTGGGACAATATTTCTGTTTTATTTGAGATAGAACGCAGACAGGGTGAGAATGGTGAGTGCTTTAAGATTTTGGTGCTTTTAGGACAGTGGGGTGTTTTGTGTGGTGTGTGGGGACAGAAGTGGAAGGGAAGACAGTAGACAGATGCCCAGATTAAAGGAGGGGGAAGCTGTTGTGGGCTCCGTTCCTGGAGATAGTGGTGGAGGAGATGGCTTTTGACATCCCTGTTCCATCTGCCTTTTACAGTCTTGCAGATAATAGGTCTGGAGATTGCATTAATAGCACATTTTGAGGGAGAGATGTTTCAGGAGGCATTTCCCCAAACAACTTTGAATTATTTGTTGAAAAAAAACCCCACCCAAACAAGTTGTCTTTCTATCCCTGGTTATGCAGAGAGATCTTGTAGCACCTTTGAGAGTTACTGAAAGGAAGAAGTTTGCAGCATGAGCTTTCGGAGACTTCAGTCTACTTCCTCTGGTTAATTTTTCTCAAGGAAAATGTGATCCATTATAAACTGGGCCTTCTGTGGTGTATTGTTATATATTATCATGGATTATCAAGTGTTCCTGGGCAGGTCTTGCCTCTTTTTGGACAGTTCTTGTAATAAGCAACATGAGGCAGTGATTCACAAAGCACTGAGGCATTTGGAAAATTGCTGGTTCTGGGGAACATGGTACTCTCAGTGCTATCTTTCTATAAGTGAGATGACAAAGGATGTGCTGGTGGAAGAAGCATGCTTCTCTTCCCAGTTCAGGCAGTTAGAGATTTTGGGCTGTCCCTACACTGTCTTTAGGATTGATTCCAGGCTTGGCCATGAAACCCACTGGGTGACACTGGGCAAGTCATACATTTTCAGCCTCAGGGGAAAGCAATAACAGACTTCCGGTGAAAAAATCTTGCAAGGAAAACCCCATGATAAGTTTGCCTTAGGGTCTTCATAGGTCTGAAAGTACACAGAAAAACAAGAAGTCTTGGATAAAGGGAACAACATTCAAACTAGAGAACTGGTAAAATTTATAAATGTGTAATGTAAGGTTAATGCATAACATAAGGTCAAAATTACTGTCTCCTTTCACTTTCCAAATTAGCATATTTTTTTGAAAATTAGTTTATTGATTTTCAAATTTTTATACAGTCAAATTAGCATAATTTTAATATATATATATATATTCCCTATTACTATGTATGGACATGAGAGCTGGACAGTCAAGAAAGAAGATAGGAGGAAAATCAATGAATTTGAGATAATGTGGTGCTGGAGAAGAGTGCTGACAAGACTTAGACTGTCATACTTTGGACACATCATGAGAAAGCATGAATCATTGGAAAAAACAATCTTGGAAAAGGTAGAAGGAAGTAGAAAGAGAGGAAGAGATCACGTATATGAGTTTGCAGGAGTTGGGCAGAGCAGTAGAGGACAGGGGAGCTGGAGATGTATCATCCATTTATATATCTCACTGGCTCAGACTAGTAACTCATACTTGAAACATTATTCGAGGTATGTCATCTTAATAATACTTTCAGCAGTCTTCCTCAATACATATGGAGTGTCATTAGGTTGGGAAAAGCTGCTTCACATTAAGTTTTAAAGAAGGTCATAATTATCCCTATATTGTAAGAAGCAGCAAGGCTAAATGCTGGTTGTGAATGGTCTTACACAACCCTATGTTTGCTTTCTGCATGTAGTCCCTAGTTACATAGTTAGCACACCTAGAAATCCCAGGATTCTGTAAGAAGGAAGCTAAACTGGGATCAAAGAGTTGCATAGATACATCTTGCAACAACATCCACAAATTAAGTAGTTAAATCGATATGTTTGGCTTTGTTAACCAAGGGAAGGTAAAAAGCTGCTATGTAGGGCACTGAAGCGCCACCTTACCCCACAGGTCCAATTTCAAACTAGTTTCTGGATCCTCCAGTCTGAGCATTACTAAGGGGATGCGGGAAGTGTGGACTGCACTGGGTGACACCTCAAGGAGAGGACACTTGGTGGAGTGGTCGCCAGTCTGTCCCAAGATCCCCCTTGACCACTCCTCCTCTGTCAGCCAAGTTGCCTCTGTTGCTAATCAGCTGCCACCGCTGATGAAATACTACATTCATCCAGCATCCCCTTCCAGGACTGGCACAACTGCTGGGCAAGCAAGTGCCACCTGCATTTCTTGCTTGCCCAGCAGTTGCGTCAAACCTAGAACAGGCTTTTGGTTGCAGCAGATCAGTTATCCGCATCAGTGGCTGTTGGTGATGGGTTCTGTGCTTTCTCGTTCTGGTGCAGTGGTGTCACTGAAGGAATGCTGGGGGGGGGGGTACGGACTGCACTGGGTGACACCCCAGAGGAGGGATGACATCTGGTGGGTCCCTCCTCCCCTTTCAATAAGGAAGGGGTGAATGCTCACCCTTCCCAGCTGCTGCATCACTGGAGCAACTCTCTGGGGAGGATGCCCAGAGTTGGAGCAGCAGAGGGGGCAAATGTGCACCCTTTCTGGGTGACATTCTCCACATCTGGTGACACTCCAGCTAGTGATGCCTCTGGCTGTTGGAAGGGGTGGTTTGGCTGTGTACCAAGCAGGCAGCCTGGGGGATGACAGCATTACTTACCACACTGGAGTGACACCAATGCTAGTGGAACCACTTTACACCTGTCACATCTTTACTCTAGTGAGCTTATGAGAGTATGCACGACTCTCTTCCTCCCCAATGTTATTCTGACAACAGCTTTGTGAGAAGGGTCATACTGAAAGAGAGTGTGGCTGGGCCAAGTTTGGTTCTGTGACTTTCTTAGCTGGGTGGGGACTTGGATCTGGATCAGCCAAGTTCCATTCCAACATCCAACCACTACACCACACTGGCACAGTGAGGATCAAGAGTTGACTAAGAATCTGCTTTTAATGTTTGTCACTTCAGTGTGGCATAGTGGTTCAAGCATTGGACTATGACTCTGGAGGCCAGGGTTCAATTCCCAGCTTGGCCATGAAAACCACTGGATGACCTTGGGCAAGTCACACTCTCTCAACCCCAGGGGACGGCAATAGCAAACCCACTCTGAACAAATCTTACCAAGAAAAACCTGCAATAGTTCTGCCTTAGGGTCGCCATAAGTCAAAAGTGACTTGAAGACACACAACACATGTGCACACATGCACTCATACAGTTATGTACTTCATCCCTTGTTCACTGAGGAGTTCCAGGTAGCGGTGATGGATATCCAAAGTCCACATACATTGGAATGTGTGTGCTAAGTAGCCTCTGTGCATCTCTTTCAGATAGTGTCTCCGGTTTCCACTCTTTCCACTGTTTTAAGTAGGTGTTCTTTGACTGTGCCCTGGTTTGCCTTTGTGATTGAGTTAGTCCTGACATTACCTTATGAGGCAGGATTTGAGGGGACTGTTTATGTCACAGCTTAGCTTCTTAGTTGCTGTACAGTGTTAATTCTTCTGTACCTAGCAAGTTTCAGGACAGCCTTTACTATCAGGCAAACCTATCAAGACTGGGGAGTGGGCAGGGAACAGTTGTGTGGTGCTGGCTGGACACAGTAGAGATTTGGGCAAGGCAACAACCAGGCTAAATGGATATCAAGAGCAACCAGCATGGCATAGTGTTTTGAACATTGGGCTATGACTATGAACAAGGTTCAAATCCCTGCTCAGCCATGGAAACCCACTGCCTTGGGCAAGTCATACACATTCTCAGACTCAGAGGAAACAAAAATAACCCCCTTCTGAGCAAATGTTGGCAAGAAGACCCTATGAAAGATTTGTCTTAGTGTTGCCATAAGTTGGAAATGGCTTGAAGGCATACAATAAGAACAACAACAACAATGGTCTGAGTGATATTTCACAGCATCCTGGGATATGCCCAATACTCCCCAATGGGAGGACCCTGCTTGCATAGATATTCCTCCAAAGAACACCAACAACACCTTGAGAAAATGCAAGCCTGTGATTAATATGGTCTATATATATATATATATATATATATATATATATATATATATATATGCACAAAACGGTGGTGCCTGCGAAGCTTCGAAAGCTTGCATCATGTATTTTGTGCATTTTGGTTGGCTGATTAAAGGTACCACTTTTTTTGTGAGTTTTTTTCAGGCTGTGTGGCCATGTTCTAGAAGAGTTTCTTTCTGACGTTTCACCAGCATCTGAATTCTCTGAAGATGCCAGCTACAGATGCTGGCGAAACATCAGAAAGAAACTCTTCTAGAACATGGCCACACAGCCTGAAAAACCCACAAAAAACTATGGATGCCGGCCATGAAAGCCTACAACTTCATAAAGGTACCACTGTTTTGTGGATTTGGGATATTATTATGCTTTGCTATGTGACCAGGACAGCTACCCCTGAATATATTCTCCACTGGTGTAAGATTAATAATGGTGGAGATGCTGCTATTAAAGAATGCTGGTCCATAATTACTGATCTGCCATCTTTTGTGTTTTTCAGAACACAGCTTGAAAGCTACTGCTTCTTTTCTATCAAGATTTGTTTCTGAAACGCAAAAGCCAAATTGCTTCCATGCTCTGAGCAACCCCTGACAGGGCTCATCCTCCCTTGAAGCTCTGCAAAGATCCTTGTTAGCATCAAGGATGCAATACAATTGTTCTTTTGTTTAGACTGAAGCTTCCATCCAGCACTTCTTCCTCCAACCCATGGTCTCCCCCCACAAATAGTTCACTTATGGATGCAATTCCCCATTTGTTTCTCTGATCCGTTTGCCCCAGGAAGTCTTCCTTGCATAACATCCTTGGATTACGCCAGTAGTAGATCTTGTCCGTCTGCTAGGAACTGGCCTATTGTAGTCATAATGTAGTCATCCTTGTCATATAGCCAAGTGGTTTGTAGCAAATTAAACTTTTTTTTAAAAAAAAGAAATGAGGGCTCTGTGCAGCAAAATATGCTCTGTGTGTGTCTGTCTAGCTCTGTTTCTCTGATATTCAGGCAGTTCAGATTCTTTTAAGTGTGTGAACACAACCATCCACATCTATTTATGCAACCTGAGTTCTCTATTTGGTATAAATTAGGCCATTAAAGCTAGCAGGAGGTAGGGCAGGGATTTCCAATCTGTGGTCCTCCAAGGGTTTTGAACTTTAGTTCCTAGAAGCTCCAGCTAACTTGGTGGACAGTCAGAAATTCTGAAGTCCAAAACATCTCGAGGGCCAAAGTTTGGGAATGGCTGATGAGGACAAAACTACTCATTGCATGAAATGCATTTCCCTACCACTGGAAATCTTAATCAAACAATACTACTAGTCAGCATGGTGTAGTAGTTTGAGTGTTGACTGAAACCAGGGTTCAATTTCTGGCTCAGCCATGAAACCCACTGGGTGACTGTGGGCAAGTCATATACTCTCAGCCTCAGATGACAGCAATGGTAAACCTCCTCTGAACAAATCTTGCCAAGAAAACTCCATAATAGCTTCGCCTTAGGGTTCTACAAGTCAGAAACCACTTGGAAGGCACACAACAAGTTCTAGCAGCTTCTTTGTGTTCAGCAGGCTTTGCTCATACATCTTCACATGTGCAGCTTTATTTTCCCCTAAAAATGCAACCTGAGATTCTAGATCTGAATTCTGAATGTGTTACCATATCCTCTGCTGCCATGAAATTGTGGCAGACATACAGTTCTGTGACTCTGTATTTTGCAGTGGACAAACCACTGTCCTCCGTATCTGTCTGTGATTCCGCCCCCCCCCAAAGAAACCCAACAAATTATAGAAAATAAATCTGTTTTCTCCCATCTTATCTGGCACAGACAAATTGTTAAGACTGATTGCTGCACAATCCTGTGTTGGTGCTGTCTGCTCTCTCTTATTTGATCTCAGCAATCCCAGGTGCCTCCATATAGGCTGCTAATTGAGTAAAATGTTAAAGTTATCTCCATACAGAATACCTCAAAGTAATTTGTTTCACATCTGCCATTTGGGATATCTGTTGAAATGGGTATAGACTGGGAGTATGTCTTTGATTCCCTTCATTGCACACCTGTCTGCTAAACGGATTTAGATAAAGGCTACATGTTAATTAGAGCTGTCAAAACTTCTGCTGCAGCTGTTAAAAGAGACACCATTCCTTCCTGCAGAAGAATCTTGCAATATTAAAGGTTCTGTGGCACAAGGATGCCCTGACACACAGGTGCCTCATAGCCTGCATCCACACTGCAGAAATAATCCAGTTTGACACCACTTTAACTGCCATGGCTAAGTGCTGTGCAGTTCTGGGAACCATCAAAAAGCAAAGGTGTTGCTGTCTCAGCCACCCATGGAATACGTTTTGGATTTTGGGATAAGAGATACGCAACTTGTATTTCTAAATGATAAAATATAATTACAGTACGTCCTTGGTATTTGTGGTAATTTGGTACCACAAATTATGCAGTTTGGTTCCAGAACCGCCCCATGCAGGGTTACCAGGTTGTATCCACACAACACCGTTATAACACTTTGATCTCAGTGTAGCTGCCATGGCTCCTTCCTATTTAATCCTGGGATTTATAGTTTCACAAAGTGCCTAGAATTCTATACTGGATAGGTCAAATGTTGATGTTAAGGGAAATGTACTAGAAAATTCTAAGGGTCTCCCCAAAGTACAAGCCCCAGGATTCCATAGGATGGAACCACAGCAGTTAAAGTGGTATCAAACTGTTATAACTGTGCCATGTGGATTCATCTTTAGTCTGCAGGTGGCAGAACTTGAATTTGTTGGATAATATACATACTCCTGGCCCAGTTATGCTACAGACTTAACACTGATTTATACTAAATTAAGTATCAGGGATTCCACTAAAGTATCCTGGAAACAGCATTTTGTTGAAAGTGCTAAGGATTCCTTTGGCTTTTCTCCCTGTTATAGTTTTATTAATGTTTTAGCTCCATCTTTTAAAAATATTGTAACCCACCTTGAATCCCATTGTGGGAGGAAGGTGGGATAGAAATCTTGGAAATCAATAATATAAATAAAATACAGTTCCCTGAGGCCAGTGGATGTTACACTATCTGGAATCTGTAGTGCAGATGTGCAGGTAGGATAGAAAAGGGGAGATGACGACATGTGCATCCCTTTTAAATATGGAAAGGAAATGTTTGGGACATTGTCCTGCAACTTTCCCTAAAAATAGCCATAATATTTCGGGCTGAATACTTTTGTGTTGACAGTGTTGTATTTTTTTTATTTATTTATTTTTTTTGCTGTAAATCTTTGCTTCCTGTTTTCGGTGCTGAAGGAAAAAAAAGATGTTGCCAGAGTAAAGACTCTTGTCTTGTGAAATATAGTAGAAGCACATTGTCTGCTCAGTACATCTGGCAGAGAGAAGCGGGGAAATCTTATAACAGTTGTATAACGCACTAATACAAATGCCATACATGGAGAAGTTTTATCAGATTCTGACAACGTTTAAGGAACAGTTAATAATTGGGTTTGTATGAGCTAGGCGCCATCAAGGTAAGAGAGAACCAAGTATGGTTATGCTTTTCAAACCTTTAGGCTCTCCGGCGTTTGACAAATCTCAAAGGGGGTCGCCAAACGGTTCTCTAGGAAACCTGTGCAAGCCGAAAGGGTTCTCAGCCCTGTTTCTGGAAACACATATATTAAAGTATTTTAAAAGGTTATCTGCCAGAAGTGAAGCATTAGGAAATAATAATGAATTGGACAAATCCAACACCACCCAAAGAACAAGCCTAGTTACACAACAAGCAAAGCATGTCATATTAGACCATCAGAAATATTCCACAGTAAAAATGCCATGTTGTTGTATGATTAATAATAATAATAATAATAATAATAATAATAATAATAATAATAATAATAATAATTTATATCCCACCTTTAGCCAAGGCTATCAAGGCGGCTTACAATTAAAATACAGTCCCATACAATTATAGTAAACATATAACCCCCCCTAAAATATATTAAATCATTATCAACATTAAAATTAATTTAAAACACAGCTACAAGTCAATGGTT